CAAATTTTTTCTAAACGACTTCTTATATTGTTGTCTGTCTACTATGATGAGTTATAGATTAAGTTTATGTATGGTTCCGCTCCACTGATTTGTGCCAAAATTGAGACCTTTTGAAAATTTCGTGAAAATAACAGTTTACACAGACTTTCATTCTCAAATTTCCACTTCTAAAAATGGCTTCAATGTTTTTTGCGAGCGGGCATTTCATGTCGTTCAGACACATCTAGTTTATCTAGTCACTGTTTTAACTATGATTCATTGTGATAATAGCCATTAAATACTAATATAAAATTTTAACTAGAAATGGGTGCCTTATCAAACCAAAATAACTTTTTAATTAGTCCCCTACCGACAAAGTCGAAGGGGACTTTAGGTTTGCACTCCGTCCGTCTGTCTGTCTGTCTGTCCATCTGTCCATCCATCAGTCCGGCAAATCAGCTTTCCACACTTTTTTTCTTCGTTCTTGAAGATATTGATTTGATATTTGGTATATAGTTTCATCATGACAAGTTATAGATCAAGTTCGAATTTTGTTTCGGTCTGATGATTTAGTCCAGAGTTATCATGGTCCATATTTAATGTTAGAGTACTACATTTTGTATGTTAAACCATATTTCTGTACAAAGAGAGATAACTCATTTTTTTAAAGACATTCTTTGGTTAATTGTTTGAGGTGTTTTTATACACCCGTCAATTTTTGACGGGACGTATTATGGTATACAAATGTCCGGTGTCAATCCGTCAGTCTGTCTGTCTGTCCGTCTGTCTGTCCGTCTGTCTGTCCGGCATAAACATGTCGCACCGTAACTTGAGAATGACTCATCCAAATTTCATGAAACTTAACATAGTTGTTTCTTATGATGGTCAAACGATCTGTATACTTTTTGGTGAACATAAGATTAAAACCTTTTGAGTTATGGGACTTAGTAACTAAAACAGGTGTGTGTTTTTTTTCACATGTCGCGCCGTATCTCAAAAACAATTTATGATTATTGTTTAAAACTTTACACACTTCTTAGTTATATTAATTTTAAGATCTGCATACTTTTTGGTGATGATTCAAAATTTTATTTTAGAGATATTGAGTATTTTGTTAAAAAAGGGGGAGGGGTTTTTCACATGTCGCGCCGTATCTCAAAAACGATTTATGATTATTGCTTAAAATTTTACACACTTCTTAGTTATATTAATCTAAAGATCTGTATACTTTTTGGTTTTGATTCAAAATTTTATTTTAGAGATATTGAGTTTTTTGTAAAAAAAAAGGGGGTTTTCGCATGTCACGCCGTATGTCAGAAACTATTTATGCTTATTGCATAAAAATTCACACACAAGACGAGGGGCGTATCATGCGCTCAAGGCGCAGCTGTTTGTTTTTATTTTGTATAAACTAATTTTCTGAATGCTATATATACATAAAAAAAAATTATGAATTGAAATCTTTTAATTAGATAATTATCTATTTTTATTAAGGTATATATTTCACTACATTACATTGTGTATAGATAAAAGTTGTTGACATTTTATAGATAAGTTACAAATCTATATTAGTTTGTGACAAATGAAAGAAAAAATATTTGGAACTATTAATTATATTTGATTATAACTTGAAAATAAATATACATTGTATTACGTCATATCTAATTTTAGAGAACTATTAATCACATCTAATGTTAGAGTGTTTTCCACAATTTTTTTCATCATGCTTAAAGATATTGATTGATAATTGGTATATAATTTTATCATGACAAGTTACAGATCAAGTTCAAATTTTTGTTTCGGTCTGATAATTTTGTGCAGAGTTATATATGGTCCTTGGACTTGAAAAATTCACTCATATAATGGATTTCCACACTGTTTTTAGTCATGCTTGAAGATATTGACTTGATATTTTCTTCTTGTTTACACCATGACAAGTTATAGAACAAGTTAGCATTTTGTTCCAGTATAATGAATTTTTACCCGGTAGGGGACTATGTATTGCCATGCAATACTCTCAGAATGCTTGTTTGTATTGACAATTACTGTTGATTCATTTATTTTCGTGGGTACCAATTTTCGTGGATTGAGGAAAACTTGCATTTTCATGGTCATTTGATTTCGTGGTTTTGCCAAAGTTTGCATAAATTCCTATAAAAAATTTGCCATTAGTTAAACATTGGAATTCGTGGTTCTCGGGTATCCATGAAATCCACGAAAATTGGTATTCAACAAATAATATTTAATCCACAGTAGCTTAGTTTTAGGTAAGATATCTTCACTTTGAATTGTCTGTATGTAACCAGATATTCAGTTATGTTAAAACTTGCATCCCCAAGAAATTTTACAACTCCATTAACATAATTTATCTACATACAATTAGTTTTAAAAATCAAAACATTTTGATTTATTGGCTTTTAATTTATGATATATAGATAGATTTGGCATTAAGGTTGTTTTCACTTCTAAAGTATTCTCGTAATAGAATAAAAAAGCAAAAGCTCTGTCTTGTCATGCTCGTCATGAAATATGAATGTTGGAATATTGATCCCTCTTTAATCAAAAGGATTTTAAAGAGAATAGGATGTTCACAACTCTAATCAAATTCCAATTTATAATACTTGAATTTTAAACCTACAGTTGAAACTTGAAAAGAATAATTAGAATAAAATAAATGGGTATAAAACTTCAATCACAGATTTTTTAGTGAAGAATTTATGTAAAATTATTGAATGACATCTTCAGACTGGACACATTTTGTAAGTTACATACTTTATTTCGAAAAAAATTTCACACAAGTTTTTAATCCAGTTTGATATAGTCATTATTTGTAAAAAGCTGAATGTTACAATGTATGTCACTTTTATGTTAATTAGTTCATGTAGTTGATTTGAAACTAAACCTGTAAATATTTTATTTACAATACATTTTTTTTTAAACAATGTTTGCTTAACAATGGACTGTTTTATCTTTGTATTTGAAATAGAAAGATACAAAGTTAAATGAAACAAACTAAATGTACTTCAATATTGTCTCTGTTCTACCTAATTTTCATTTTGTTCATGACTAAAATTGGTTTCAACCGAATTGATTCAATAGAGGAAACAATTTTCGTTCAATCTTTGCCTGATGCTTGTAATTAATAAACATATAGTCTGATAATGTGGGAAAGTGACATTTGGATCTTCTTGTTATTAATCTGAAAGTGCCATATTCTATTGATCTTAGATTCTTTGCTGATAAAATTAATCTCTTTAATGCAGTTTAATGTGAAAGCAGAGTAGAATTATATAAAAATTTGTCATGTATGTGTCTAAAATAATCTCTTGTAAACCCATTAGTCAATACTAAATACATGTATGAAAATGGAAGGACATGGGACAAATGTCAATCATGTCTGTTAGGTAACCAATTGACCACAGGATTAAACAAAAAAATCAGTAGTCAACATGGTCAAAACTTGATTGAGGAATAAAATTTGATAGGTGTTGCAACAAAGGATTTCCCAAAGACCTGACTTCAATGTAGACTGAATATTATTAATCTAGCCCTGTTGTCTAAACTACATTTTAAACTAAATTCTATCCCTGATCTTGTTAATAATCATCTATTGGCACTATATTAATAAGGAATATGGGAAAAAATGGACATGAACCAATAATAACTAATTTAAACTATGACTTTGAAGTTACCTATATTAATATGATAAGAAAACGTGAGCTTGTATTGATGTTATTGGGGGCCTCGGTGGCCGAGTGGTCTAAGTAGTCAAACTACTGTATCACTGGCCTGTCAACACTGAGGTTGTGAGTTCGAATCCCGCACTGGCAGGTGCATCGACTCAAATCTTAATTGACTATACTAGAATTGTCAGTTTTCCTACCGAAGGTCGTGGTTCTCTCCCGACACTCCGGCTTCCTCCACCAATAAAAAATAACCGTCAAGAAATAGCACAATATAATAAGTGTTGAAAGTGGTTTTAAACACCAATCAATCAATCAATCAATATTGATGTTCTTCATCAAGACAGTTGGTGGAAGGTTTTATGTGTTTTCCTGATATATCTTCAGGTATAATTGACCAAAACTTCTGATGTTTTAACATATGGATCTATGACTTCTACACCTAGGACAAGTACCATTTGACTATAACCACTACAAATCTGGAACGGTTTACCAGTATGAATTTTGATCCCTAGTTGGTTCTTGATTCTATCAAAATATTGATATGTCTTATATATCCTGAGAGTATTGTCACTCTATATACCTCCTTTCTTTTCCAACTTAAAATTATTGTCACATGTCTGTGATGCAATAGAAGTCATACTGATAACTGAAGCAAATATTTCTAAAAGAAAATTAATGAAAATAGTAGCCGCTGCAATACATCCTAGAATGACACACAAACAATGAATGAAGTGTATTTCATTTCGTGATCATGATGATTATGTAATTCTTTCACTCCCATGTTATTTTATATTGATTGCATGGTTTGTGAGCTTTATGTAATAATCAATGTCGAATTAGTTATAGTAGGTAATTATTTATGGCAAAGTATATATTTTATAGGCTTCTTATAGAAAAAGAACATGTATCACATGGTTTATAACCAGTTTTTCTGTACTAAATTGGCCTCCAAAGTAATTACCAATTTGTAACTGGTATGACTACAAGAAACTAATGTCCAATTACCTGCCATTTTGCTGTATTTTATTCCTATGCTAGAATTGCTCTCTCATATATAGCATCTTTCATGTAACATGTTACTAAACAAATACATTGAAGATGAGTAATTGAAAGAAAGCATCAATATTTTAGTAGCAGTCAGATTTTTCAAAGTGATCACTTGTAGAGAGGAAAAAACGATGAAAGTTAATTAGGACCTCAAAGTCAAATTTCGATTTTGAATGAAATCTAATGCATTGGAAATTTGGTGTAATGATTCCATGTTAATAACAAATTTATTTCAAGTCAATCAATAATGTGTGATGATTTGATGATTGATTTTTTATTTATCCTCAGGTGAAGTTTGATGATTTTATTAGTAACTTTGTGGTAGAACAAACATCGCACCATGGAACCACATCCTGACGAACAATTCCATCCAGGGGATGAACAGTTAAACTGGTCAGAACAGCATGAAAATCTCAAAGGTAACTTTATATGTAACATATATACAGATATATATATATATATATATATACATCAAATATATCGCATCGCATTAAAGCTTGATTTTCTATCTTAACTTTTTCAGATTTGGAAAAAAATTCCTGTAAGAAGTTCAAAGTGAAAATGTATGAAAATAATCCATATTTTTTATAACTGTTCAATTCAGTCCAAGGTGACTTACAATTAATTTACCTCAATTCTAAAAGTTTTATTATGTCCCATCTACAGTTGTAAAGGTTAAAATTTTTGATTAAGAAAGTTTACCATAAATTTGTGGTCACATCATCTTGATGCTCATGTTCATTACGATGTGAATTTTTTAAAATTTAGTTGCCAAATTACAATTTTGACCCTGATTACAGGATTCACTGAACATAGAAATTTGATCATGGGAAATAAGTACTTTCACAGGTTAAAGTTTTTGGTAAGGTAAGTTTACCATGAAGTTTTGGTCACATCCACTTGCAACTAATTACACATGTTCATTGTTAGGTAAATTTTCGGACATATATGACAAATTACAATTTTGAACCTGATTTCATAGTTCATTCAACATGGACACATGATAGTGTAAGCAGGGCATGATGTCCTATGAAAACATATTTTAGAAGTTGAATATTTTTTATTGAAGCCCTTGATTGAGATAAAGTGGCGATGGTTGAGATCTCAATAGACTAGTTTAACCCTAACACATAACCGTTTACCTGTCCCAAATCTAAAACCTTATGACTACTACAAGGGGTTGTTTAACTACCTTGACTACCCATGAGGGTGTCGCACGTTGATAATAGTTGTCTGATGTCATATAAATTTTTTTTTTTTTTTCTGTCATTTTGAGAATTGATTGTTGATGGCAGATCTTCTCTGATTAATTAACATGATTTTTTTAAAACTTTAGGCTATTTAAAATTTGACATATTGTATAGAGACCTGTCTCTTGTTGAATAATTCTTATATATATATAAACAAGTCTAAATTGAAAACAACTTTCAAACCTATGATTGCGTTGGATAAAAACCGCAATTTTTATACGTGTGCATGCAAAACAAATTTCTAGGTAAAGGGGTCTAAAAGTGACAAAGTTTATTTTAACAAAATGCATTTGACTAGCAGGTTGAACAACGGATGTTCTTAAACCCTCCTAACTGCCATTAGCGATTGCCAAATAAAATGATCACCAGATGTAACAAAATGGATCTTAAATATTAATTTAATATAAAACAGAAAACAATAAACTTGCGGAAAAGATGGTATACCGCAAACAAAAGGTTCAAAAATTAGTACACCATATCCGGATTTCGACAATTAATGTCTTTTCAGTGATGTTAGGAATCGAAACAGTATTTGGGAGGCCATATAATTTACCTCAATTTAGGATAGACTCTTGAATTTTGAAGAGTCGAAATAGGATGACCGGATCATATAAACCTGAAAGGCAAATATAATACAAGCCCAAACGAAAAAATATAAACAAGTCTATAGAATTGAAAACAACTTTCAAACCTATGATTGCGTTGGATAAAAACCGCAATTTTTATATGTGTGCATGCAAAACAAATTTCTTAGTAAAGGGGTCTAAATACATGAAATACAGCACAAGCAATATTTTCCAAAAGACCAAAAAAGTGACAAAGTATATTTTAACAAAACGCATTTGACTAGCAGGTCGAACAACAGATGTTCTTAAACCATATATATCCTGGGAGAATATTTACCTTTAATTGTCTTTTGGATATTTTTGTCGTTGGATTGCTGTCTCGTTTATCATGATGTAAACCTCACCTCTTCTTTTACTCACAAAAGGTGTGCATAATATTAGAATGCATTTTTTGTTTTTCCACAGAATTTATGGTTGTTGTAAACCTTTGTCAATTGTTGTAAAATTTTGCAAGTTATCCTAGAAGGATGTACTCTGGTCAATGGTTTTTGTCCCCATAGAAATACCAGTTGTCGGTCCGTCTGTCTGTCAGTCTTTCCGGTTTTGTTAGCGCTCTTATGTGTACAATTCTTGCCAGATTTTTATGAAACTTATATCATAGGTTAATATCAGCAATTTTTGGATGAGTTCGAAAATCAGTGCAGATCAATAATTTTTAAAGGAGTTATGCCCCCTGGAAACATTAATTATATAGAAAATTGCATTGTTAGCACTCTCATGTGTACAATTCTTGCCAGAATTTTATGAAACTTATATCATAGATTTATTTCAGCAATGTCTCTGACGAGATAGAAAATCAGTGCCAATCAATTATTTTAGATTAGTTATGCCCTTGGAAACATTAATTAAAAGGAAAATTGCATTGTTAGTGCTCTCATATGTACAATTCTTGCCAGAATTTTATGAAACTTATATCATAGGTTTATATCAGCAATATCTTTGACTTTTTCGAAAATAAGTGCTGATCAAATGTTTTTAACGAGTTATGCCAAATGGAAATATTAATCATAACGGAAATCGCATTGCATTTGCTCTGAAGCCTTCATTTCTCTAAGATACATTTTTGTACTTAGAAAAAGTTTTAAAGATAAAAAAAAGTGTTTTTATGCCCCTGCCGTAGCAGAGGGGGCATTAAAAGAGGGCCTTAGATACCAGAGGGACAGTCAAACTCATAGATCGAAAACAAACTGACAACGCCATGGCCAAAAATAAAAAGACAAACAGACAAGTAATAGTACAGATGACACAACATAGAAAATTAAGTGTTATTCTTGTCCGTCCCGTACGTCCCCAAAATTGGTTTCGTCCTTTAACTTTAGTTTGCCTCAACCAAATGTTATAAAACTTATACACAATGCTTATTACCACGTAACACAAATTAAGTTTGAAATTGGGTGGTGTCACTTTTACCGTTCATTAGTTATGCCCCTTTATAAACATAAAAATTGCTGAATTTTTCATTTCCGTTCTCTAACTTTAGTTTGCCTCAACCAAATGTTATAAAACTTATACACAATACTTATTACCACAAAACACAGATCAAGTCGAAATTGGGTGGTGTCACTTTTACTGTTCATTAGTTATTCCCCTTTATAAACATAAAAATTGCTGAATTTTTCGTTTCCGTCCTCTAACTTTAGTTTGCCTCAAACAAATGTTATGAAACTTATACACAATGCTTATTACCACAAAACACAGACCAAGTTTAAAATTTGGTGGCGTCATTTTTACCGTTCTTGAGTTATGCCCCTTTAAAAGTGGAAAAATTACTAAATCTGTCGTTTCCGTCCTCTAACTTTAGTTTGCCTCAACCAAATGTTATTAAACTTATACACAATGCTTATAATCACAAAACAGTCTTTACTACGTGAATCCTGCATCTGTATGTGGAAGTTGACTCATGCATATTTACAAGCGGGGCATCTGTGGCCCATAGACACATTTTTAAGTTATTGCCCTTGTACCTTGGATAGATAAAATATGTGCAACGCGGGGGACATTGGAACTCTTTTCTTTTATTCTGCTTCAATTTCAAGCTAAAAACTGCTTTAACATGTGATTATATTTGAGATATTCATATTTTAAAGATTAAGATTTTGAACAATTTGGTTTTTCTTAAAAAATCATAGGTTGTTAATTTTGGAATTTTGTTTTTTGTGTGTCCTTTTAAGGGATATATTTTGGTTTCTTGCTTTTCATACTTTGATATTTCAGATTTATATCAGTTCTAACTTATAATATCAGATTTTGAGTACCCCTAACCTGCTAACAAGAAGTAGTATTTCAAAATATTATTAATCAAAAATTTTTAAGGAAATGTGATTCGTTAAAACTTGATCACATGTACATTTGTATTTACTCAGTTTGCACGTCAACACTGTCGTTTTTAGCTTTTCGTAGGTCAAAAACAGCATATTGCACAGGGCATACAGCATGTTACTAAAAATACATTATAGAAATCCCCAATTTTACATTGTTCATGCAATAGTCAGTTTTTAATAATATAACAATTGTAGCTTTTGGTTGAAGTCAATACAATGTTATATCGATGTTCGTCCTCAGTCAATATGCTTCTCTTAGGTCTCTTACCTCGTATGCATATGGTGTCTAAAGCCCCCTCCCCTCCCCTTAGCCCCATAACAAAAAAAACCCAAATAACAAGCAAACAAAAATACATATGTTAGTTTTAATAATTGAAGATAGATACTGCATGTGCAGATTTTAATCACTAAAGTTAAATGATAAGAATAATTACAATTCATAGTAATATTTCTTAATTTTTAGGTACAAAGCCAAAAGGAAGATATAACAAATTTTCTGAGCATGCTAGAACCTTGATTTCAACAGAGAAACAATGTGCTTTATTTTGTGGAGGAAAGAAATGTAAATATTGTACATGGGAGAATTGGACAGAAGACAAAACAGAAATTAAAGGACTTTACTCTAATTGGTTTGTGTATTTTATATTCCTTATAAAATTAAGGAGATGTGGTAGGATTGCCAATGAGACAACTATCCCCCAAATGCCAATAAAACAACTATCCACCAAATGCCAATGAGACAACTATACACCAAAGTTCAAATGAAGTGGATGTAAGCAATTATAGACAACTGTATGGCCTTCGACAATGAGAAAAACCCATATTGTATAGTTGGCTATATATGTTTTATCTTTATATTGATAATGCCTGTGATTATTTGTTTGTTTTTAGTTTTTATGATCATGAATTCCTTTGCTTGGCAATGATAATATTTGTAGGAACTGTGTGTTTTATATGAACATTATCTATTGATGTGGCATGTGGCTCTTCATAGATATATGTGGCATCGTAGATAAATAGTGAAAGATTAAACTGTACAAGCCCATGCTAGTGGCTACCTGAATCTTTCTGTAAGGTCAAAGCTTTATATGTTATTGTTGAAGACCTGCAGACAACTGTTAAGATAAAGAACAGTAATCGAATTGCAGTTCCTATGATAAATTGATTATTTCCTAGTGTTCTAGTGTCTTAAACATCTACTCAATATCCTTTCTCTTACAATTTGTATAGTATAAAATTCTGAGTCTTGTACATGTACCCAATACCCTTTCTTTTCCAATTTATATAGTATATAATTTCAACATTGTCATTCAGTTGTTATTAGATTTATGCACAAGGTATCATGCTGTTCTGATGTTTTTGGAATCATGCTGTATGCTGTTTCTTATTTCACAGATCAAGATTTGCTGATTTTATGAATCAAGTTTCTGTATTTATTTTATTTTCAGCATGGTATTTAATCCCATATCTCATCTTATTATTTTACAGGGTAACAGACAATATTTTGGCAATGGCAAGACCATCATCTAAAGCCATTAAAAAGTTTGATATCATAAAACAGTTTAAAGAGTAAGATATTACTATCGATAATGTACAATGATGTATGGTGGCATGTATATATTTTAACTTATTAAAGGGGCACTAGCTGTTAAATTCATGTTCACCGATTTGACTCAAATTCTCATATTTTCAAAACATTTAGGGGAGGAATTTTTTTTTTCTTTAACATTTTCCATTTTAAATTGGTTATTTCTGATTTATATATAAAAGCAAATAATAATGATATGGTTTGAATAGGTAAATTAAAAAAATTTAAGTTCTTAGACCACATTCATTCTGTGTCAGAAATCTATGCTGTGTCAAATAATTCAGTGCTGTATCAAGCTTGAATGTTGTGTCCATACTTGCCCCAAGTGTTCAGGCTTCGACCTCTGGGGTCGTATCAAGCTACTCCCAGCGGAGCATTTTATTAGAAAATTTATTTTTATATTTATTTGGAAAAAAGGGGGGGGGGGAGGAACATTTTTTTTTTTTTTGGGGGGAGGGGGGAGGTCAATTGGCAACAGCATAGTGTATTGCACAAAAGCAAAAAATTGAATATAAATTCAAATTATATAACCAATTCTAAGTTCTTTGACTACAGTTATTCTGTGTCAGAAACCTATTATGTGTCAAATATTGAATTACAATCCAAATTCAGACCTATATCAAGGGCGAATATTGTGTCCATTTTTGCCCCAACTGTTCAGGATTGATCTCTGCGGTCATATCCAGCTGCGCTCAGCGAAGCAATTTATTAACCTATATATAAGTAAAAAAATTCTGAATGTCTAAGGGATATAACTCTACCTCCAAAATAATTTACCTGTACCAGTAAATAAAAAACATTTGTATAAGTATTACCCCTGACTAAATTAAGACGAAAATATTTAATCCACATTATTTGTGACTGAAATCCATTAATTATAGAGGTGTAACTGGACACAAGAAATAATTTTAGTATGCATTATGATATTTCAGAAAAATTTTGATGTTTACATTTATTTGCATAAGGTATTTTTTTCAAAACCAGTGAAAAAATGAAAAAAAAATTTAAGAGAAATCTGATGGTAATTTCTTTTGAACTCATTTTATGTTTTTTATTCTGTCTGGAAAACATCAAAAGATGGTAACAGTGTGTGTAGGGTGTCAAACCTATTTAAATATAGTTGATACTGTTAGCAGCCTTCTTTGTACCATACATCAAACCATAAGGAAAATAATAGCTATAATAGGTGAATTGTAACGATTCTATCAAATCAAACAATTTGTTTTAATCTTATCATATATCTTTTTCTGAATTGGTGAGAAATTGAATACTGTATATTACTTCTAGAAGATATGGCATTCATTATGGACAAATTACAATAATGTGGTTAAACTATAAAAGTGTGTACATGTTGTATAAAAATTTTACTTGCAAAAATAAAACTCTGAACTTTTTGACCGGTTTGTTCAGTCTCATTTTCTGATTCTATAAAACATAACATGTTAAAATTTCTGAATATACAAGATTTTCAATTCCTCTTGGATGTTTACTTTATAGTTTTGAATTATTTAATGAAAAACAGCAAAATTTGCAAATATTGCCTTGTTGATACTAATAATTAGCTGTCATCGATATTTTATGTTCACACACCAATTTTGGTCAGTTTCTCTAACTAATCATTTCATTATATTTCATGTTTATTATTGTATATTTATCACATGTGACACATTTATAAGTCTTAGCATCGCATTGTAATTAATTTTGAATTTTGGTGATTTTTGTGTGTCACCATTGATATTCTGCATAGAAGATGATGGATTATTTTATATTTGAACAGGAAAGGTATAACCTCAGTGATAAGTATACAGAAACCAGGAGAGCATGCAGATTGTGGATATGGTTTAGAGGAGAGTGGATTTACTTATGATCCACAGATGTTTATGGAGAATGGAAGTAAGTAATCTTGACAAGACATTTTTCCCCCATTACATATAACATGTTTCAAACTACCTCAGATATGATTTAACTCTTTTACTTGAAACTTGATTAGATTATTAGAATTAATGGTGATCTAAGGCCTTGTATACTTTTTTTTTTATATTTGATATATGAGAACAATTTGTTTTTAGTAAATCACAAGAAATATTTACATATGAGGGTTTATGGATAACGAAGTTCCTTTAAAGCAAAGGGTTATTTTAACAACTGCTTTGGAACAGTCTGTCACATGTTTTAGTTGCATTTATTCATTCGATTGGTACTACGGACTCACATAAACAAGGTGAAAACCAACAGGAAAGTACACAGACATAACAGATACATTTGTACACGAAAGAAAGAATTGCTTTATTTAAAATTCAGCATTATTTTAATTAGAATAATTATGTTTTTTTTTTAAATTGGCTTGGAAAGATATGTTATGTATTATGTGTGTGACCGACTGTGCGAGGGCTTTATAGCCAGTCAAGGTCGTTAAAAACCCCAATCATCATCATATATTACGTTTATTGTTTATTTCAGTATATTTTTACAATTTTGGGTGGTAAGTATACTGTATACTTATGATATTTTATAATCCTTTAAAAAGGGCCAAAATAAATCGTTATAATTCATGTAATTATTGGTTTTGTTTTACCGTTACTGAATCATTCAGTTTAAAAAGACTTTCATTTTGAGAAATGTTGACAGCAGAAATTTAAAAGTATTCTCAATTTTGTGGCAAAATTGCTCAGATGAAAAATTATATTTATAATTAAGTAATGTTTATCATGGACGGTAAAAAGCATTTCGTAAAATATGAAATATGAATGAAAAATGAAAGAGACGGCAATCAAACGAACAATAGAACGAGACAGACATTTAGAGGCAGATGACATATTTTTATACATTTTGAAAAACTTCCAATGAATATGTGATCTCAATTTGGATAGCTCTCACTGTACATTGTTATTTTTGATTCAGTAGGTTTAAAAATTGTGCTTTATTTACAGGGATGATTATGGTGTAGCATCCTTAAGTACTATACTGGATATGGTTAAAGTCATACAGTTTGCTGTCTCAGATGGCAAAGTTGCCATTCATTGCCATGCTGGCCTTGGTAAGTTCTAGCACATGGCAAATTTGTCACTCATAATCATGCTTCACTTTGTCAGTTCTGTAATCACTAGCCAGTCAACACTGAGGTTGTGAGCTTGAACCCCGCTTGTGCGGGTGCACTCGACTCCAATCTTAATTGACTAGGGTTGTCAGTTTTCCTATCGAAGGTCGGTGGTTTTCTGCGGGCACTCCGGCTTCCTCCACCAATAAAAACTGGCCTCACGAAATAGCCCAAAATCATTGCTTAAAAGTGGCGTTAAAACTCCAAAAATCAAAAATCAAATCACTTTGTCAGTTTTCAAAAAGGCAAATTTGTTACTTGTTTCCAATTTGAATTAGTAACTTTGATTTCATAAGAAGACAACGTTGCCATTCATGATGAACTTTTTATTAGTTTTTATCACACCAGACAAAGTTCATTGTCATACTGGGGTTAGAAAGTTTGATCACACCAGACAAAGTTCATTATCATACTGGGGTTAGAAAGTTTAATCACACCAGACAAAGTTCATTGTCATACTGGGGTTAGAAAGTTTGATCACACCAGTTCATTGTCATACTGGGGTTAGAAAGTTTGATTACACCAGACAAAGTTCATTGTCATACTGGGGTTAGAAAGTTTGATCACATCAGACAAAGTTCATTGTCATACTGGGGTTAGAAAGTTTGATCACAAAAGACAAAGTTGTCATTGATTGCCTTGCTAGACTGGACAAAATAACTTTCATAAAGTGTCTAAGTGATTAACTTCACAAATTCACAAATCCTTATAATTTTCTTGAAATATAAATGACCAAACTGTTATGAGAATAAATTGCAAATAAAATAAATAATGTTAATTTCTTGATTTTATTTTTAGGCAGAACTGGTGTTATAATTGCTTCCTACTTAGTGTTTACAAATAGAATTCATGCGGATGATGCTATACAGTTTGTAAGATCAAAGAGGTGAGTTAATTATTATCTCCATAATTAATGTGTATAATTTTAAAATATCGCCCAATAAAGGAACATTTTTTAATTGACAGTAGTTTATCAATATTTGAATTTTGTAACTCAAATCAACAGAAAAACCAGAGAGTATCACAAAAGCTCCAAATCAAGATAGGCCAAATGCAGTGACAGGATTATCAGCTTCTGTTGTGCATGCATGTAAATTGTTTCATACTGAGCAAAACATGTCAAACTGGGAACAGGACTCAGTAAAATTTCAAATCAGACTCCTATTCTGGTATATTGAAATTTGACAAAGAATTTCTAAATAAGGACTATAAATAAAAAAATAATGTTCTCTCAAAACATCTTTGTTGTCTTGCTATAGACATGATAGACACTCTAGCACTATACTACCAAGTGGTTAACATGCTGTCATGGATTTGCCTTGGTCCACAATGTATAGATATATGTGTATATCACTTACAGCTTTTCTTTACATAGGAATAACCTTTAAACCTAGTTTGATCATAAACAGAATGCTAGTAGATAAGTTAAACTTTACCAGAAAAATGAGTGGTAAAGAAGTATAATATTATGAGAGATGCTTTGAGAAGAGCTACCAAAGCATGCAAATCTAACAACATGAAAGTATAAACTTTTCCTTGTAATTTGTCAATGATTGTATCAATGTAAATGAAAATTTGAAAATAAATTATATTTACTATGTTATTACAGACATGGTGCAATCCAGACCCGAGGACAAATGGAAGTGATTAGAGAATTTGAACAGTACTTAAAGCCATTCCGGATTATATTTTCTATAGCGTATGTAGCATGGTTTTTGTATTTGATATAAAATATTCTTCACTTGACAAATGTATCCAGCAGATCCAGAAATAAAAAAATTGAGATGAAGAAAATGTTCTACGAACAGCGTTTTCTCTGACTTATCATTGGAAAGAAATTTAAGAGCCAAAAACAAAATAAACAGCCTTATAAATGAATTCTCTTAAGTTTTGTAGCCAAAGATCAATAGAAAAGGATTAAAAATTGTTTGAATAAGTATACATTGAGAGCTATCTAAACTGAACCTTTACTTAACTAGAAAACTGTGGAATAATTTTGAAAAATATATATTATTGCACAAGATTGTATGGAGCCAAGTGTCACTTTAATTTGTATGGCTTCAACATATATATATGTTGGGCTAAATATACGACGAATTATATATATTAATATACATATAAAGTGCCTAGAAAATCAACCTAACAATGGTAGAGAAGATCTGATTTGAATTTTAACTTCCTCCCCCTCTGAACACTGCTTAGCATTGCGCAGACGCCTTATTCCCTCCTCTAACTATAGCTTTTGTCTCGGGAGGTATTACCTTCTCGTAGGTATTAAACAAGGACGACTAATCACAACACATGAAGTATTTTTAAGTGTACAGGAATGATTATCTACTCATCTCTTCAGTATAATTACAGTATATATATGTATATAAAACAACAATAAAATGAATCAATTTGAATTGGGCATATTTGACCGTCAACACAGTTCATCATTGATAAGTGTAAACTAACTTTTGAGAGAAAAAGGACGATAGAACTCCATTGATATATTTTAGAAATTGTTCAATAAGCCATAATATGTTTGATTAATTTATTTAGAGGTACAGATAGCAGAGAATTTAGTCTACAACAGTTCCTCAATAGGCAGAAACAAATACTCCATGGATACGAAGCAAGAAAACTTAAATATGTGCCAAAGGTAAAATTGAGTATTAAACAACAAAGCATTCTATAGACTATGATTTAAATCTCACCTGGTCCAATGAACCAGTATGAGTAGTTTCCATCACTTTGCTTCCAATGCCTTTATTGCCCTTCCTTGAACTTTTACATGTTTATCACCTATGTCAATCAAGTTCACACTTGAGGATACACAACGTTTCTGAGGTAAAGATTTAGCTACTTTAATACTTATTTAAATGTTTAATTGTAAAGATTTGTTTTTAGTTTTTATGAAATTACATAAAAGATTTATTTTCATAGCATTGAGAAAAATCAATACCGGTACTTTTGAGTGTGATGTAATAGACAGGACATAACTTATTAATTCAATGATACATAATTCTAACATGCACTCAGAAATATCTATAGCAAAGGGACAGCACTTTTATTGCTTTTCTTGATCACAAAGTCTGAGTGCTGCCCTTAAACCTAGACCAACAGTTCACTTTAAGTTCAAGTCTGCACCTAACTCCAGTTGGAGAAAAATTCTTTGGTAGATGTCAGCACTTCGTGTTTACATTGAAGAAAAAAGATGCAGGATAATATCAATAAATTCCAGACTAATGGATAGAACAATCTAATAAAATACATTCATAATTTGCTTGACAGTCTCGCTGTAAAATACAGAAACATTGCAAACATTTTATAGAAAACCACCTCACACTTCAAGAGTATGAACATTGTATAGAAAATCGCATCATACTTTATAGTATACAGTATTTATATAAAGATTTGTCTGATTTGGAGCAATCCCTAAAGGTAACTAATTACATTCAAAGTGTCTTTATTTTCAGGTTATATATGTGGTATGTGAAAGATTGTTAGAACTTTCAAAAAAAGGAAACTCATTGTCTCAAATAAGAAAATGTCCAAGTGTAGCTTCTTTTGACAAAAAATTAAATCAAAATGGTGACATTGAATCAGAAAATGGCATCCCAAGAGTGTCTTCTCAGCCGTCATTAGAATCTCAAATAAGTTCAACTTCTAGTCATTTAAAACGCATTGGAAGGAGAAAAAGTGTTTGTATGGAAGACTTGCCAGATGAAAAACTCTTAGCATTAAAACATAAAACTGAACGTGAACTTAGTATAAAATCAGATACAGAGACTGATGTTTTTTCTACATTGGACATTGTGTCTCAGAAAAGTGATGATCTGGATAGTGTATGTGACGATTTAGGATGTTTATCAACAATTGATGTGGCAGAGGCTCTTGGTACAACTGATGTTGAGGAAGGAATATACAGTGCAGCTGATATTTATCAGGTTGAAATTTAATATATTAGATACAACAAATACCAAACACGTGTTAATAACTAACCATCTTACACAATTGACAGGCCGTTTAATTTTTTTTATGAAAAGGGAATCATAAGATTGTCAGGTAACTACTGAAATAAGTTAAAACAGTGTTAGATTTTAAAATAAATATTGCTCAGGTGAAAGATCTTGTTTCACAGGATTTTACAGGAGATATAGTAACTGATTTTTAATTTTTTAATTGTCTAATTTTCACAATTGACGTGCTTTACACTCATTGCGTCTCAGCAGTTATAAAGCAAACTTGAAATCCCATTTTATTTAAAAAAAAGAATTTTAAGTCACTACAATATTGTAATTTGTTCTATTTATCAACAATGCAATTAAAATTGTTTTAACATCATCATTCTTCAGACTCTGCCTAATTTGACAATTGATTGGCTGTCATATAACAATATCTTTTTAGCAGCCTGTTATCTTACAGCTATTTCAAAATCATTTCATATATGACTGACAGCAATACTTTGTATGAGAAGAAGGGTAGACGTCATATGTTTTTGTCTATCTAACAACAAATTTCTGGTTTAATATTGAAATATCTGGTTCATTGAATGATACTGTATGTGTAATGAAGCTGTTGGCGATGGAAAATGTATTTTTAAGTCACAAAAAATCCTAAAAGATGTCTTATTTTTATCCTACAGCAAAACACCTATATGTATATTTTAACAATGCACATCTAAGTAGTTTGCATGAAAATATGGATGGGTGTTGTTTGAAGTAAACCAGCATATTGAATTTATTTTTGTTTTCCATTATACAAATTAGAAATTTTATTAATGAATTCATTGATAAAATTTTATAATGCATTATTTTTTTAAGAGATTTGCTTTATTTTATAATTTTTTATATTTTCTTTAATGTATTTTCCATGGATCAAATTGTTATTTATATGCAAGGGAAATAAGCAAATCCATGTAGTAGGCAATAAGTGAATGTTAAAAACAAGACGATAACAGAGAAACAAATATCCATGAATTATTAACAGGTGTAAAAACAGGGTTCACCATAGGCTAATTCAGAGTGGAGGGCTGCCCATCTTACAAAAATGTGTATCACAGTATTACTGAGTAATTAAGATAGGCCATCTTTCAAAAATATACATTTCAGTAAATTGATTTAGTCCATCTTTTGAAATATCTTCCTCCTTCTATAAAACCTGTATGTTTAGTTGATTAGGCTACACAAGATTGTATTATGGATGTTTTCTATACCTTAAATTTGATTAAATTAGCTGAGACCAGCTATAAAAATGGAATGCTATTCATAGGTTGATCAGCTGATCACTGTTTACTTACCACAAGGTGATCAGATGATGTTATTTTACATAAAGTCAAAATTTTAAAAAAATACATGTGTCTTGGGTTTCCTACCAACCCTACTTTTATGGCTCAAAATGCCTACCCTAAAATGTTTATTGTCTCTGTTTTGTAGTGAATTGTGACAATTAAAGTCTTCATCGTGCATTCAAGTTTAAAAATTGGGCAAATTAGAAAACAAGTCATAATTTCTACCCTTTAATATTAAGGAGGGAAACCTAAACACATATACCTTTTTGTTTGGCTTAATAAAAAAATACATGTGTTACCTAGTATACAACATTCAAATTCATGCACTTTCCTGTACATTTCCTATGTTTCAATACTTATGTTATTATGTCACAGTAAGAACTAATTGTTTGATGTCGTCATTTATGCCAATAATAAACCTCAGGTCAACCTTAGTAAATCATATATAAAAAATAACTTGAGTTTGAACTACAAAGAAATTTATCATAATTTGAATGATATATGTGATCTCAATGTTGAAATGATTTATTTTGCTTCACTGCCCATTTTTTATTAACTTCTAGTCTAATATAAATGAAGAAATTATTCATAAGATCTATTAAAAAGATGTTTTTTTTTCCCTGGGGTGCAACATGCTATTATTCCAATGCCTTGATGATGATACAGCAAACAATCATAGACGAATTTGTTATGAAAGCTTATGTTAAGAACAAGATAAAAAATATGTCATGTAATAAAAAAAATCTTGGTTTCAATTTGGGTAGGGACAAAGTTAACTATTAATAGATAAAAATTATATGATAAATCAAGGTAACAATAGTTGCTTGAGTTAATAAATCCATGTATTAATATGCTTGATATTATATTGTTAGATATATGACAATCGTGTATTCCTAATACTGGTAAGGGCAAAACAATTACCTGGTCATTACCTTGCAATACTCATTCCTATCATTTTAAGTTCATGTACATGTATTTGAATAATTATATTAAATTTTGTATATGTTCTAGCAAAAACTGAATGAGAAAGATTCAGCATGGAAAGATTTAGCCAATGAACAGAACCAATATGTACTGGCTGAAATAATGTGGTCATGGTTAGATCAGCTTAAGGTAAATAATGTGGTCATTGTTTAAATAGCTACAGGTAAATAATGTGGTCATTTTTAATTGCTACTGGTAAATAAAGTGGTAATGGCTAGGTCAGCTAAAGCTAAATAATGTTGTCATGGTTAGATTAGCTGATGGTAAATAATGTGGTCATGGTTAGATCAGCTTACGGTAAATTATGTGGTCATGGTAAGATCAGCTTATATAACTTCTTAGGAAGAAAGATAAGAAGTTGGCAATATCCTTTAACTCTACGTTCCGCTATATAGATGATGTTCTCTCACTAAATAATACAAAATTTGGTGACTATGTTGAACGAATCTATCCCATCGAACTAGAGATAAAGGATACTACAGATACAGTTAAGTCTGCCTCATATCTTGACTTACATCTAGAAATTGACAATGAGGGTTGGTTGAAAACAAAACTTTACGACAAAAGAGATGATTTCAGCTTCCCAATTGTGAACTTTCCATTTCTATGTAGCAACATTCCAGCAGCGACTGCATACGGAGTATTAATTTCCCAATTGATACGATATTCCCGGGCTTGTGTTTCCTATCATGATTTCCTTAATAGAGGATTGCTGCTCACAAGGAAGCTATTAAACCAAGAGTTCCAAATGGTGAAGTTGAAATCATCCCTTCGTAAATTTTACAGACGCCATCATGAGTTGGTTGACCGTTATGGAATAACCGTTTCAAAGATGATATCGGATATTTTCCTTATGTCGTAACTACAATACCCTTCCCTTTCACGAATACGACTTATGGACTATTTCCCGGATTTGTAATAACATAAGCAACACGACGGGTGCCACATGTGGAGCAGGATCTGCTTACCCTTCCGGAGCACCTGAGATCACCCCCAGTTTTTGTTGGGGTTCGTGTTGCTTAGTCTTTAGTTTTCTATGTTGTGTCATCTGTACTATTATTTGTCTGTTTGTCTTTTTATTTTTGGCCATGGCGTTGTCAGTTTGTTTTCGATCTATGAGTTTGACTGTCCCTCTGGTATCTTTTGTCCCTCTTTTATAATTAATAATGAGGTCGTAGTAAATCAGCTTACGGTAAATAATGTGGTCATCATGTTAGATCAGCTGATTAGCTCACCTGGCACTAAGGGCTAGTGGCTTTTGTCATAATTTTGCATCCTTCCTCTGTCCAACCATTTTCTGTCGTCCATCATCCTTCATTTCTTCTCCTTTGAAACTGCTCAATGGATTGAAGCCAAAGTTTGTTTGCTTCATCTATAGAATGTCAAATCTCATGTTTGTAATTTTTGTCCAGGTTGATCAGCCAACATGGTTTCCTTGTCTAAAATAGTACATAGAGGTCAAACTACAGTTGACGCATTACTAAAGCAATTAGAGAAAAACTGACTAGTAAAAATGGTCAGCACAACAATTACTATCTACCCTGAAAACTTTGGTAAAATCTGTCAGCCTGTTTGGAGCTATTGCCTCTGAAAGGTTGATTTTTTAACTGTTTTGGCATTTCCTTGCCATTGTTTCAGTAACTGTAGGAACTAAGTTAAAAGTGTAAATTGCAAAAGTAATCATCATGACAAGATGTATCCACACTAAAAATTTGAGGAAAATCTAACTACTTGTTTTGGAGTCATTGCCTCTGAAATATAGATTTTTCAAATTTTTAGCAGTTGTTGGCTGCTATCATAGGAGCTAGGTTATTAATGAAAATTGCAAAAAAGTTCAGCATGATAAGATGTATGTCCTCTGAAAATTAGAGAAAAATCTGTTGTCCTGTTTTTTGAGTTATTGCCCTTAAATTAATATTTTTCACAGTTTTTATACATTCGTCAATTACAGGACATATTATGGTATAATTATAAATATTATTGAATAATTCATCACTACGTCTAGTAAGGATATTTTATCAGACTTTTATTATTAAGTTTTATAATTTGGCTAGTCAAATAAGAAAATCAACCAGTTTGCCTTCCAACATGATGGCCAAGGGAAACAAATTCCAACTTAAATTGCATTAAAAAAAACTACATTAAGACGTTCTGGCCACCTTATCTTAGTAGAGGAAAGATATAAGATATGCAGAATCCATAAAAAAAGTTCTTGACAATGGATTTTATTTCTTTTATTTTTATTTTAGGAACCTGTATTGAAAGCACAAGATTTAAGTGTAATTATGAAGACTAGTGAAATAGATGCTGTTCTCCAGAAATTAGAAAGGGTATGTCAGACTACATTTCCTTAACTGTAACTTATATAATGACTTAAAACAACAATAATTTCTTGGAGGGTCAATTAGGCATGGTGGTCTTGTTGCTGTAATTGTTGTCCATCTGTAAGCAAAATGGTTCTTATGTGAAAAATCATGTTTTATCTAATCATTAACATCTTATTTACTACAGTCACCTACACAGTTCACTTCTATACACTGCTGATTAGATAGCTACTGCAGCTGATTTGTATGTTAACTACCAGAGATAATTTGCAGTGAGAGAATTTTTACGGCTGTGTAATCAGTACTCTATTTAAATCTTCAATTTAAATCAGTGAATAATGTATAAAATTAAAAAATAAAACATGCATTCAACTTACAATTATCTGAATTTTTATATTCCTGATACACAAATAAATCCAATAAAGTAAATTTAAACACATAATAATAACTATATACAATATCATAAAAATTCCAATATGTATTCCAACTTATATACATGTGTATGGCCATAGTTTTACGTTAACAATTCCTCATGGTATTTGAAAAAGCAGTCATTCTTTATACACAGTTTAACATTACATTGCCTGCATCCTATAGAAACTGTGTCTTCTGTTTTGCTTCAAACATTGCTTGCATCTGCCAGGTTTTTATACGACCGCAAAAAAATTTTGTGGTCGTATATTGGTATGACGTTGGCGTCGTCGTCGTCGTCCGAAGACACCTTGGTTTTCGCACTCTTACTTTAGTTTAAGTGAATGGATCTTTTTGAAATTTGACCATAAGGTTAAATACCACAAAAGGAAGGTTGGGATTGATTTTGGGGATTATGGTACCAACAGTTAAGGAATTAGGGGCCAAAAATAAGCATTTTCTAGTTTCCAGACAATAACTGTGGAACGGTGTATTTATACTACAAGTTTCCATACCACAAAGGGATGGTTAGGATTTGCTTTGGGGGGTTATGGCTCAAACCGTTTAGGAATTAGGGGCAAAAAAGGGGGAAAAACAAGGTTGTCCTGGTTAATGGACAAATACTTTAGTACAAAACATAATTTAAAGCAGTGTAAGGGAGATAAATCATAACATCATTGAAATTATCTCCCTTACACTGCTTTTAAATTATGTATAAAGTAATGGTTAATGAACAATAAAGATAATTTAAAACAGTGTAAGGGAGGTAATCCAAATACAATGTTTTGGTTACTTCCCTTACACTGCTTTTAAATTATGTTTAAAGAAATACATATTTATAAAGGAAGACCAGTAAAAATATCTGCAAATGTTGCATCTTTTTTTTTACAAAAAAATCCATATGAAAGATTTGACACTATATTTTTAATTCTATTATAAAATAGATTAAGTTAGCACTATGGTAAATTTAAATGGGTAATTATGGTTGCCAACTCCATTGGAAATTTGAATTGAGATTATGACCATATCTTGAGGGAAAGAATTTTTTGGGGGAAAAAAGGGGGGGGGGGATAAAAAGAAATTGTGGGGGGTCAATTTTTTCTCATTTCAGATTTCAGAAATTAAAAAGAATTATTCTTCAAATATTATTTTTTTTTCAAATTTCAAATATTGAAAAATTTCAAGAAGTAATCTTTAATTGCACAGTATGGCGCATTAGATTTGTAAAATCTTTGATCACATTTATTTATTTGTTATGCCGAATCTAACAGTGTATTTAGATTTTTAATTTTGGGTCCAGTTTTCAAATTGGTCTACATTAAGGTCCAAAGGGTCCAAAATTAAACTTTGTTTGATTTTAGCAAAAATTGAATATATGAGGTTCTTTGATATGCTGAATCTAAACATGTATTTAGATTTTTGATTTTTGGCCCAGTTTTCAAGTTGGTCCAAATTGGGGTCCAAAATTAAACTTTGTTTGATTTGAACAAAAATTGAATATATGGGGTTCTTTGATATGCTGAATCTAACCATGTATTTAGATTTTTTATTTGTGGACCCCGTTATCAAATTGGTTCATATTGAGGTCAAAAGGGTCCAAAATTAAACTTTGTTTGATTTCATCTAAAATTGAATTATTGGGGTTCTTTGATATTCCAAATCTAACCGTGTATTTAGATTTTTAATTTTGGGTCCTGTTTTTTAAATTGGTCTACATTAAGGTCCAAAGGGTCCAAAATTAAACTTAGTTTGATTTTAACAAAAATTGAATTCTTGGGGTTCTTTGATATGCTGAATCTAAACATGTGTTTAGATTTTTGATTATGGGCCCAGTTTTCAAGTTGGTCCAAGATAGGGTCCAGTATTTAAACTTTGTTTGATTTCAACAAAAATTGAATATATGGGGTTCTTTGATATGCTGAATCTAAACATGTATTTAGATTTTTGATTTTTGGCCCAGTTTTCAAGTTGGTCCAAATTGGGATCCAAAATTAAACTTTGTTTGATTTCAACAAAAATTGAATATATGAGGTTCTTTGATATGCTGAATCTAACCATGTATTTAGATTTTTTATTTGTGGGCCCCGCTATCAAATTGGTTCATATTGAGGTCAAAAGGGTCTAAAATTAAACTTTGTTTGATTTCATCAAAAATTGAATTATTGGGGTTCTTTGATATGCCAAATCTAACCGTGTTTTTAGATTTTTAATTTGGGTCCCATTTTTTAAAATTGGTCTTCATTGAGGTCCAAATGGTCCAAAATTAAACTTAGTTTGATTTTAACAAAAATTCAATTCTTGGGGTTCTTTGATATGCTAAATCTAAACATGTGTTTAGATTTTTGATTATGGGCCCAGTTTTCAAGTTGGTCCAAGATAGGGTCCAGTTTTTAAACTTTGTTTGATTTCAACAACAATTGAATATATGGGGTTCTTTGATATGCTGAATCTAACCATGTATTTAGATTTTTGATTATGGGCCCAGTTTTCAAGTTGGTCCAAATTGGGGTCCAAAATTAAACTTTGTTTGATTTCAACAAAAATTGAATATATGAGGTTCTTTGATATGCTGAATCTAACCATGTATTTAGATTTTTTATTTGTGGGCCCCGTTATCAAATTGGTTCATATTGAGGTCAAAAGGGTCTAAAATTAAACTTTGTTTGATTTCATCAAAAAATGAATTATTGGGGTTCTTTGATATGCCAAATCTAACCGTGTTTTTAGATTTTTAATTTGGGTCCCATTTTTTAAAATTGGTCTTCATTGAGGTCCAAAGGGTCCAAAATTAAACTTAGTTTGATTTTAACAAAAATTCAATTCTTAGGGTTCTTTGATATGCTAAATCTAAACATGTGTTTAGATTTTTGATTATGGGCCCAGTTTTCAAGTTGGTCCAAGTTGGGGTCCAAAATTAAACTTTTTTTGATTTCAACAAAAATTGAATATATGGGGTTCTTTGATATGCTGAATCTAACCATGAATTTAGATTTTTTATTTGTGGGCCCCGCTATCAAATTGGTTCATATTGAGGTCAAAAGGGTCCAAAATTAAACTTTGTTTGATTTCATCAAAAATTGAATTATTGGGGTTCTTTGATATTCCAAATCTAACCGTGTATTTAGATTTTTAATTTTAAGTCCCGTTTTTTAAATTGGTCTACATTAAGGTCCAAAGGGTCCAAAATTAAACTTAGTTTGATTTTAGCAAAAATTGAATTATTGGGGTTCTTTGATATGCTGAATCTAAACATGTGTTTAGATTTTTGATTATGGGCCCAGTTTTCAAGTTTGTCCAAGTTGGGGTCCAAAATTAAACTTTGTTTGATTTCAACAAAAATTGAAAATATGGGGTTCTTTGATATGCTGAATCTAACCATGTATTTTGATTTTGGACATTGGACCATAATAGGTAAATTAAAAAAATTCAAGTTCTTAGACCACATTCTTTCTGTGTCAGAAACCTATGCTGTGTCAAATATTTAATAACAATCCAAATTCAGAGCTGTATCAAGCTTGAATGTTGTGTCCATACTTGCCCCAACTGTTCAGGGTTCGACCTCTGCGGTCGTATCAAGCTGCGCCCCAGCGAAGCATTTTATTCAAACTGACAGAGCCAGTGTGCAAGTCCACAATTCCCGGTCACTGGTGGAGCTTTTCTTTTTCAAACACCTCAGAACTGCCCTATCATCTATTGAGCCAAGGCTTTTCTGAATTCCAGTTGTAATAGTTTTTTTTCTTTATTTGTCCTTGAAACTTTCTTGTGATTTGGAGATTCTTGCATACATATCAGAGCATTTACTGTGACAAGATCAAAACAAAACCAAAACAAGTACTTATACCATTTCCTGGCTTTCCTGCAGGTAGAGTATTGCATCCGTTTTTTGGTCAGCCAATACAACTCTGACACCATTGGAGCAGGGACATCTTGAAGTGTGCCATCTTTTTTTCTCCTTCGAACAGTTCTTGTCAGAGTTGTATCACAGTTTGTACTCAAATACGTCACAACTTTTTTGTCCTTCCATGCTGTTGCCACTAGATTTCCCTTTTGCATTGTTAGTGTTTCTCCCTTTTCCTTAAGTTTGCTCCCTTAATAGCTTCAGGCATTCCACGGTGGTTGATTCGAACAGTTCCACAGCAATAAATTCTCTCATGCAAAAGTTGTTTAATCAATTCTGGATTTGAAAAAAAATTATCAATGTATATTACATGATAATTGCCGACCAGATTTCTTGACAAGTCTTTTATTACTCTTGAACCTAGACCTTCTTCACATCATACTCCTGCTACACATACTGTATACACTTGGAACTCTTGAACATACCCATTGTGGGGGGAAGCAGGTTCCCAAACTTTGATCCCAAATTTTGTTGGTTTTGCTGGAAGGTTTGAAGGACAAGCGTCCTTTGAAAGCAATCATACCTCATCAATAGATTGCTCCTTATGTGGCCTGTAGTTGTCTAAACAGGTTTTTGATAGGGCATCTAATACAGGTCTTATATATATGGCAAAGCTTGTCATGTCCTGTTTGTCCTCCTTGAGGGTTATTTGTGGTGTCATTCATGTGAAAATATTTTGAGATTTACTCAAATCTTGTTTTAGACATAATTGTTGCAATACTAGGTATCTCAAAAGGCCACTGTGTTTTCCATGCTAAAGCATAATTATGTACACCTTAGACTGAAAATACCACATGTATCCCAAAAAAGGCCATCATTTCATGTACAGTTGTTTCTACCCACACTTTGTCAGGTGTCGTTATGATACATTTACGTGCATATTCATTTGTTTCAAGTACTAATTTTGCAACAAGTGTAGAAGGAAAAAACTTATGAAAAAAGTCTATTTCTTTCTTTTCCTTTTCAAGCAAGAAAGCTGCCCCAAATGATCGTGAAAAGTTTGTGACTGGGGGTTTATTCAAATTTTCTGTCCAAGTTTGGTTGTCCAGTTGGGTTCTTCATCCTAGGAATACTTGCTATCCAGTTCCGACAAACTGATATCACTTCCAATACTATGTAATTCACTTTCATCCATATCAGATTGTGTAAATCCTTGGAATTCATCGCTATTGTCGTCTGATTTGAAGAATGAAACCCATTCTTCTGCCATTGTTATAATGGCATTCTGCAAACAAAAAACACATGTAAAAAACAACAAAATTTAATGTAAACAAATTGCCTTTTAATTGAAAGGAATGTACGAGGTGAAAGATTATTCATTTGTAAAATCGAATTTCATTGGTTCAATTTGGGATTGCCCAGAGGTTTTGTCCAATCTTAAGGGTTTTAACAGTGGTATATTTTACAGAACTACCTGTCACCGGCACTGTGCATGTGTTTGTTTACAGCGGATCTATCAGTCACTGCAAATACACACTAAATTATGCAATGGATTTATCAGTCACAGAACGATGATAATAACCGCGTATATATCTGTCAGTGGTAGATAAAGAGTTATTCATGAAATTTTAACACAATGATCATTGCCACGAAAGGAAGATTGAGATTTCACATGGCATTTTGACCCAACCTATTTCAGAACACATGGCAAAAAGGAATACCAAAAGTGTTTTCATTTATTTTGATGTTGCACTTTTTTTTGGTGGCCATCTTGTTTTTGCCCAGTCCTACTGCCTGTTTGTCACAAATATTTGTCAATAAAAACATCTTCTGCAATTAATTTAGGGATGTATATGACTTGACAGAACTTTTTTTGTATAGTGTATACTTTTTTATGTATGAGAATGTATAAATGTAGGCAGTGTTTTTGTTTTTAAATTTAGTGGTTTGTTATGCAATTTTCAATGCATTGGATACAATGTATATATAGTTATTGAAATATTAATTTTAAGTTTACTTGATTTACTTACGTCTGAGAAAATTCATGATTAAAATTGAGAATGGAAATGGGGAAGATGTCAAAGAGACATGTACAACAACCCGACCAAAGAGCAGACAACAGCGGAAGGCCACCAATGGGTCTTCAACGCAGCGGAGGTGGTCCTCAGCTGGCCCCTGAATAAAATTGTGTACTAGTTCAGTGAAAATGGACGTCACACTAAAATCCAAAACATATAGATGAACTAAAATTAAAAAAACATACAAGACTAACAGAGGCCAGAGGCTCCTGACTTGGGACAGGCGCAAAAATGAGGCTGGGTTAAACATGTTTTTTGAGATCTCAACCCTCCCCCTATACCTCTAGCCAATGTAGAATAAAGAAACACATAGCAATACACACAGTAAAACTCAGTTCAAAAGAAGTCCGAAGTCCGATGCCAGAATAGGTAAGGCCAAAATTAAAATTAAGTTTGTTTCCCCACGCCCCGACCGACTGAGAAAATAGCCACCGACTCAAAAAAATTTTTTGAGTTCTGAGTTGAAATTTTTTGTTTAAATATCTCGGGTACGACCAGATCGGGTACGAACTTGAGTACTTGCCGGCATGGTAGACTGGTTCCTTGTCCTTTTATCTGTTTGTTTCTGACATGACAACTAGGGTGACTCAGACAGGAGTCCAGATACCCTGTATGTTCAGGGTTCTCATTAAGACGGGGGGCCTCGGTGGCCGAGTGGTCTAAGTAGTTACTACTGTAATCACTAGCCAGTCAACACTGAGGTTGTGAGTTCGAACCCCGCTCGTGCAGGTGCACTGGACTCCAATCTAAATTGACTAGGATTGTCAGTTTTCCTATCGAAGGTCATGGTTTTCTCCGGCACTCCAGCTTCCTCCACCAATAAAAACTGGTCGCCACGAAATAGCCCAAAAGCGGTGATTAAAAGTGGTGTTAAAACACCAAAAATCAAATCAAATCTGGTTAAGACGCGTATACGCGTCCCAGACGCATGGAAATCGAGCTGGACGCGTCATTTTTTAAACCCGTGAGTCCCTGGGACGCGTCCTGATTGTATCCCCTGAGTCCCAAACACATCGTTTTGCCTAGAAGATTTATAACTCGACATTGTTTTGACAAGAAACTAAACCGAAGTCGATGTAGAAAAATCTATGTGATGCGTAGATCAATATTTTTGACAGCTGATAGATTTATAATTTACTTTGTCTGCATGGTTGAACAAGCCAATGAACGATCATGACCCAGTTTTGTCAAAATGAAAAGTAAAAATTGTTTGCAGACTTTTTTTTAAATACAAATGCTTGACTGTACCTTAAATGGAATGCATACAAATCCAAACTAAATTATCAAAAGCAGTATAATCAGAAATTAAATGAATTCCTTGACCACATGTTTTCTTTTGTTGACAAACATGATCACTTTTGGCGGGAAAAATACTTGGGGAAACACCTAAATAACAGACAACCCTGTCTGGATATTTATAGACATTTAAAATAAATAGCTGATATAGGAGTGCCAGGAAAATAGTTAAACTTGGTATATATAATTCAATCTACACCAATTTAATTGGGAAAAGGGTGTAAAGGGGAAGGGGTTAATTTGTAAAGTTATTTTTTTTGTCATTTAAATTTTGGTAACTAAAAATCACCAGACAAATTCTTTTACTGAGTTTATTATTAAATAGTCCATTCATATTTTACAAAAATATGTTCCTTTAGGATAAGGGGGATTGGCCAAATTCTTTGCAGTTTTAAAATTTTTCTAAGAATTTAAAACTCAAAAATCATGTTAATATAAAGGAAATTAAGGAGGTAGACATTCTAACACTTACATTAAAGTTGCTACAAATGGTTATATGAGCCAGACATACACATGATCGATTTGTTTTGCTCTGTTGGGTATTAAAAAAAAAATTATCAAGATATTTTAAAAAAAAAAAACCACCTACCTACCTACCTACCCACCTACAACAATGTGGGTAGGGGTGTGGGGAAACATACATTTTTTTAATTGTGGCCTAACAAAAGAAATTAAGCAAAATGACAATGATACATAAATGAACATTTAAGGACTACTAGCAGTTACTGACATGCCAGCTCCAGACCTCAATTAAACTGATTGAAAGATTATGTCTTCATCATATGAAAATCAAGTACTATCCCTCCCGTAGGGGGTTTAGTATCATACAATCATAAAATATATGAGAAGAACATAACCTGTATCATGCTTATCATGATTATCATGATTATCTACTTGAACATGTTGAAGGAAAATAAGAATATTTGTATTTTCATTATGTATGAAACAAATTTATTAGTGCACTATTATTTGTCTGGCAGTTAAAATACAGTCTAACCTGCCTTACCATTTATCTTGTTTCAGCAGTCACCTGCCACTTATGACCACTTTCAGACCCGCCCAAATGTTTTCTCTATATAATTTAACTCTTTTCAGCGGCCACCTGTCTAATGCGGTCAGCAGTCACCTAATTTTAGCATGACATCATCATTTCGACTTTTATCAACAGTCATTTTAATGTTTTTAACTACCAAAATAATCATGACAAAAAATATATATTTTCATTATCGAAGTCAACAGAGATTGAGCAATAGGAGGTGAGTTTGTCAATTCCTCATATTCAACACCTTTCCATTTCCATTTAAAAATGTATCAATGACTTATTTCTCCACGAATATTAGCATATTTCGAATGTTTACTTCAAATTTCAAGTGCTGAAATCTGCCATTTTTTATTTCTTTGCCCCAAGAGCCATAACTCTACTGATTGAAAACATTTAAACAAATTGCCCAGATATGGACCATGGGCGATGTTGGAATCAGAATCTGTTTTGAGTGGTCACTTTTGATTTTTCCCAAGCGTAACTGCCTAATACAGGTTTGACTGTATGTCTATTCTTTCATTATGTTTTTTTGTATGTTTTTAGGGTACAAGACACACCATAGAATACATTATGAAAATCATCTACAAACTGAAGCCTTTAGATGAAGATATGTTGACCAAAATCTATGAAAAACTGCTTTCGTTTTTAACACACCAGTGGGTTGTTATTGACTCCTTTAAGGACATGTCAACTAGTTGGTCAATGTCGACTCGGGACAGCATGATGGATACAGATACAAAGGAGCATTGGACAGAAATGAAAAAGAATCAAGCATTAGCTTTGTATACATTCTTTACCCGATTACAAGAGACAATCGACGAGAAGTTTTCAGCCCAGTCAAATGACAAAACAGAAAACCAAAAATGATCATAGTGTTTTTAGCTTTAATTACATTAATTGTCTGTTAGTTATTCAGCAGTCAATAACACATATCATTATTTGATTATTGTCTTCTTATCTTCTTTTTTTTTGTCATTTTATTGTTTCCTTTTTTGTTTTTATTGTGCTTGCCATGACATTTGCCAACATAGTAAGACACATATTTATGAATTTTCCAATGGCATAATATTCCAAGTAGTTGTAGCTATCCAAACTTGTTAAGTTTTGTGATTGTCATCATTCTAGAGCATATATCATGTGTGAATCTTATTTTCATTTCAGTGAAAGTCACTGTTACTTATCCTGAAATTTCTTACCTATATTATCATATAAGGACAAATATCTGTATGTTGTGGAATTTTTCTTATTTTGCAGAGTCACATAGTAATAACTGTTATGGTGTTATATTCAGTTTGACTACCTAATTGGAAAATTTCCAGTTTAAATTTTGTTTCAACTTTAAATTTTGTTTGCACATAGTTGGTAATTACTCAAAAAGCATATCTGAGTGCTATTTATTGCATAAACATTGACAATATTTTCAGTAATATTGTGTTTAAGGAACTTCATTTTGCTGTCTAGATGAAGGTACTGTAAATTCAAGTGCTAGATTAATTAACGCAATTACAGAAAATATTGGATACAAATTTAACCAGGAATGATGCTGCCAAGAGTATCTCAAGAAACTATGATATAGGCACCAACTTTTTTCTTAACAAGTCAAATGTGCATAGCATTAAGAATGCTGTACCAACTTTATAAGGTAAATTGACTATCATTTTTTTCTGTATGTATTTTTTTTTGTAACTATTAAGTTGTCAAAATCCATTACATGTACTGCAAGATAAATGCATGATTTAGAATAGTTTAGAATTGATTGATTAATTCTTTGTTAAATTACTTACATGCCTGCAAATTTCGAAATATAGAAAATGTAGAAATCTTTATATTTTTCTATAACTTTGTAAAAATTTGAAATTTTAATATTTCCTTTCAAACAGACCAGAATGAAACTGAAATACAAAAGAAAAATGTTTCATGTAGGCAATTTTTTTATTGTAAATCTTAAAAGATCAAATCAAAATGAGTTAATATCAAAATTTCAGGAAAAATAAAGAATTGATGATCTTTACTCTACCCTTTCCATTGAAGGAGTACAGAAAGCTAAAAAGATCTGATAGTACATTGTTACTTCTGGTTTGCTGTGCAAAACAACTGATAGGATTGTATAGATTTTAGTTTCTCATCTTTAATTTACTTTTGGAAAAGAATAGATGCTTTAGTTTTTACTTGGGCACTAACTCAGTATTTTTCTTGATACATGTAGTGGTGTAAAATATATTTTGGTTGCAATTTCTGTATTATATATACTTATGTTTATTAGTGCTGTCATATATAAGAAATAATATATTTACATCTGTAAAATATTAGTCCACTTCTAGTCAGCTTCTAGTCCAATGATACAATAAAAATCTGATAAATCAAAACAAAAGAAATTCTTTGGGCATTTTAAATGGATCATACTGGTATACATTTTTTGTTTTTTTCCTTCGATCAGTTGGATGCATTAAAAAATGGTACTATTATGTTTTTTTATCCTGATTTTATTTAATGGTATAAATATTCCCAAATTGAACAGAAATAAATTTCCTGTACAGAAATTTTCACGTTTGCTTTTCATAAGTTATGGGCCTTGATATATTAGAAAATTGCACTTTATGTCATTTCAGTGCAATGACTTGTGAACTGTTCAACAAAGGTTTTTAAATTTTGATATGTTGTTACTGATGGCAAAATGGGGGTCAGGTTTGATATTGACCATTTTCACTTTTACCGTTCTGGACTGGGTTGTTCATCCTGTGGTTAAATATAACCCAGGTTTAATTATTTAACAAATGGATATGGAACCAAGGGTCAAATTCTGTTGCTCAACTTCTCTTTTACCCTTGCATAGTTCAGTTTTCACTGACACTAGATTTTTCAAAATAAAAAAAAATATCAGCCCTTTTCTCTGGTCCTAGAATCTGTTTTGGTCGATAAATGAGATTGCTTATTTAAAAGACAACCTTTACAGCATAAAGATTTATGAAGTACAACTACAATGCTGATGTACATGTACAAGAGCACCTTTTGTTTTGACACTTTAGAAGCATTGATTGTTGAATTATACTTGTTAAAGGATACAATACATTATCTTACTTAAACATGCTTAATTTTGCTGCATAATTTTTTTATTGAATTACAAGTAAACAGAGTATAAAAAAATCTTGATTCCATTTTGTCAAGAAGGTACAGATTAAATCTAGATTATATCAATACAAAAATAGGAAATTGCTGTAAAACGTAAAAGTCATTTTGTGTGTTGCTAAATTCCGCAAAAAATAAGAGTAGGCTGTATCAAAATTTTAAAGTCGTTTCCAATCTTGTTTGCACCCTTAACAAACAGGGAATCATAGTTTTAGGCAACAATATTCCTTGGTTAAAATTTAAACAGAGGTCTAGAACAAGGTTAATCTGAATCTTTTAACAACTGGTTAAATTTTAACCAAGGAATCGATATTCAACCCTAGGTTTAACCAAGAAATGAACAACAGGATCCAAGAGTTGTGGTTTTTGATATATTTGAAAATGGCACTTTATTGCATTTTTGTTCCATTTCTTATGGACCTTTCAATCAATGGTTTTGAAATTTTAATATGTCAATACTAATTACAAAATGGAGGTCAAGTTTGATATTGGCAATTTTCACCTTTGCTGTTCTAGAGTTTTGAGCCTTGATATATTGGAAAATTGCACTTTTTGTGGTTTCCGTACAATAACTAATGAAGCATTCAACCAATGCTTTTAAAATTTTAATATGTTGTTACAAATGACAAAGTAGAGGCCAAGTTTAATATTAATAATTTTCACTATACTTGTTTAGTAGTTATGGTCCTTGATAAATTGGAAAGTAGGCACAGAAGATGACAGGTCAAACAAGCCTGAAAGCTCACAAAACCCAGTTTGCTGTCAATTTGACAGCTCATGTCTTGTTGATTTTTGAAATCAAAGTGGCCTTATCTTACCATTTCCTTAGATGTAAACCTGTTTTAAAAATTAGATTTAAATGGTGCATGAGATTTAGATGTAGTTTTCTTATAAAGTTTATCATTTTAGTTCTGTGTTATTCTATGTTTATTTTCATGTTTTGTTTTATGTTTGTTGATATGTTTAATGTTATAAAGCTACCTGATATAAGTAGTTGTAACCCCTATGGTTAGCTTGTCAGTTCTTTATGAATGTACAAATACTGTGTCCAAAAAGTCAAATCAGATGATTCTGTATTATATGGGAAAAGCTTTAATCAAGTATAATGTGATAGATTTAACTAAACTAGATAATTATATGTTTAATTGACATAAGAATAGGATATAGGGTGGTTTCTGCAATCCTTTAAGCATAGTGTAGTATCATGGCATATGGCAGTATTTAACATATAGGATTGATTTTCCATTAAGACATATTTAACCTGTTTGAGTATTTTTATGTTTCATTGCTTTTCTGCAATATTCTTCCAAATACATGGAACAGCACAAACTATCATCAATCTGCAATAGAAACTGATAGTTTGACAAAATTTTCTGTCCATGTTTCTTGTCATTTTAAAATGGTCTTTTTAGTTCTAAAAAATGATGGCAGTTCCCATTGGCGTTTCTTCAGAGTCCATCTTATTGTGTATGTCTGCATTTAAACCTCTATTCCATAAACTGCATGAAAGAATTACTTTTGATGATGGTTGAGCACTATACAATTTTTTTATCTCAGGTTGTATAATGCATACAATGAATACCAACTTGCATTAAGGTTCATTTGTGAGTATGGTAAATTGAATGTCATTTTAATGCAGTACAGACATTGACAGATGTTGATTCAAATTTACATTGAAATTTTTATTTTTTGTACTGATAATCTCAACTTTAACAAGTAGGCCAGATTTCAGACGAATTATGTCAATTTTGCATACCTTCTCTGCTTCCTTGACTGACACAATTAGGTACTAAATGAAGAATAATAATGTAAAATTTGCATGGAATTGTTTCTTTCTAAGAAAGACTTAATTCAGTAGTTATTAGGTAATCAAATGATAAAATACTTATAACATGTATAAAGCACTGAATTTGTCAACTGTTTTATTTTTTCAGTTAAGGTTTCATCTGTTGTATGATTTATTGTCCTAAAGCAAGCTATATGCTTTGAAATGCATCTCTAGCAGTCTATCCCCATATGTTAAACCATAGGGAACTTTATGATTGTGAGCTATGTATTTCAAGATTACTGTAGATTCATTTATTTTCGTGGGTAACAATATTTGTGGATTGTAGAAAACTTGCAATTTCATGGATATTAGAGTTCAAGATTTTGCCAAAGTCTGCATACATTTCTATGGAAAATTTGTCAATTGTTGAACACTGAAACTCGTGGTTCCCCTATACCGACGAAATCCATGAAAGTTAGTATTCAACGAATAATAATGAATCCAAAGTACCTTTGATTTGTTTGCATCAGTAATTCACTATAGTGATATTTGGTATCTTTCTTGTTGAATTTGTTGTATCTTTTTTTTTTTTTTTTTTTTTTGTTAGTGTTTCTTTTTCGTTGTCTAACATGTTTTCCTTTCAAGGTTGTGTTGTGTTATATTAGATCAGACTAATTAGTTAGATAAGGTTTTTTTCATATCATTCAATCAATTTCTTTGCCATTTCTTTAATAGGTATGCTCTAGTATAAGGTAGTGTCATATGAAATTTTCATTGTTTCATCTAAACTTTAAAAATCATGATTGTTAAGGAAAACATTTGCCGTCCACAATAACACCATTATATCATTATATTGTATATTTTGGTTAATGATTTAAGAATTTATTTATTGTACACAAAACTATTTTCACTAAATAAAAGTGCATAATTAAATTGTATATTTTGTATCAAAAGAGAGACAGAAGATCCTAAAGGGATATTCAAACTCATAAGTCGATGACATACTGACAACTCAATGGCAAAAAAAAAAACGAAAACCGACCGAAAGACAAACAACAGTTTACCTGACACAACATAGAAAACTAAAGACTAGATGTAATGAACCCAACCAAAAACCTGGGGTGAACTTAGGTGCTCAGGTAGGGTTAGCATATCCAAATGATAAAAATCCTGCAACAGATAAACCAATCCATCAATCCAAAAAATGAATAAAAGGCAATGTTGGGTATACATCAATGAGAGCAATCTTTATCTCAAATTAGTGAACTCATGACCATATTATAAACTGTGGGTCACATTTTGAGTACTGCTTACAATAATCTTCTCGTTTCCTTTCTTTGATTAGCAATAAAATGCTACATTGAATTACTGATTTTTGTCGCAGAAAGCTCGACATAGGGATAGTGATCCGGCGGCGGCGGCGTTAGCTAACTTCTTAAAAGCTTTATATTTTAGAAGGTGGAAGGTCTGGCTGCTTCATACTTTGTATATGGATGCCTCATGTTACGAAGTTTCCGGCAGTCCAATGTCCTTGACCTCATTTTCATGGTTCAGTGACTACTTGAAAAAAAAGTTGAGATTTTTTGTAATGTTAGATTCTCTCTTATTATAAGTAATAGGATAACTATATTTGGTATGTGCTTACCTTGCAAGGTCCTCATGCCCGTCAGACAGTTTTCACTTGACCGCGACCTCATTTCATGGATCAGTGAACAAGGTTAAGTTTTGGTGGTCAAGTCCATATCTCAGATACTATAAGCAATAGGTCTAGTATATTCGGTGTATGGAAGGACTGTAAGGTGTACATGTCCAACTGGCAGGTGTCATCTGACCTTGACCTCATTTTCATGGTTCAGTGGTTATAGTTAAGTTTTTGTGTTTTGGTCTGTTTTTCTTATACTGTATGCCATAGGTCTACTATATTTGGTGTATGGAATGATTGTAAGGTATACATGTCTAGCGGGCAGGTGTCATTTGACCTTGACCTCATTTTCATGGTTCAGTGGTCAAAGTTAAGTTTTTGAGTTTTGGTCTTTTTTTCTAATACTATGTGCAATAGTTCAACTATATTTGGTATGTGCGTACCTTGCAAGGTCCTCATGCCCGTCAGACAGTTTTCACTTGACCTCGACCTCATTTCATGGATCAGTGAACAAGGTTAAGTTTTGGTGGTCAAGTCCATATCTCAGATACTATAAGCAATAGGTCTAGTATATTCGGTGTATGGAAGGACTAAGGTGTACATGTCCAACTGGCAGGTGTCATCTGACCTTGACCTCATTTTCATGGTTCAGTGGTTATAGTTAAGTTTTTGTGTTTTGGTCTGTTTTTCTTATACTGCATGCCATAGGTCTACTATATTTGGTGTATGGAATGATTGTAAGGTGTACATGTCTAGCGGGTAGGTGTCATCTGACCTTGACCTCATTTTCATGGTTCAGTGGTCAAAGTTAAGTTTTTGAGTTTTGGTCTTTTTTTCTAATACTATGTGCAATAGTTCAACTATATTTGGTATGTGCGTACCTTGCAAGGTCCTCATGCCCGTCAGACAGTTTTCACTTGACCTCGACCTCATTTCATGGATCAATGAACAAGGTTAAGTTTTGGTGGTCAAGTCCATATCTCAGATACTATAAGCAATAGGTCTAGTATATTCGGTGTATGGAAGGACTGTAAGGTGTACATGTCCAACTGGCAGGTGTCATCTGACCTTGACCTCATTTTCATGGTTCAGTGGTTATAGTTAAGTTTTTGTCGAGCCTGCGACTTTTGTCGCAGAAAGCTCGACATAGGGATAGTGATCCGGCGGCGGCGGCTACGGCGGCGGCGGCGTTAGCTAACTTCTTAAAAGCTTTATATTTTAGAAGGTGGAAGGTCTGGATGCTTCATACTTTGTATATGGATGCCTCATGTTACGAAGTTTCCGTCAGTCACATGTCCAATGTCCTTGACCTCATTTTCATGGTTCAGTGACTACTTGAAAAAAAAGTTAAGATTTTTTGTAATGTTAGATTCTCTCTTATTATAAGTAATAGGATAACTATATTTGGTATGTGCGTACCTTGCAAGGTCCTCATGCCCGTTAGACAGTTTTCACTTGACCTCGACCTCATTTCATGGATCAGTGAACAAGGTTAAGTTTTGGTGGTCAAGTCCATATCTCAGATACTATAAGCAATAGGTCTAGTATATTCGGTGTATGGAAGGACTGTAAGGTGTACATGTCCAACTGGCAGGTGTCATCTGACCTTGACCTCATTTTCATGGTTCAGTGGTCAAAGTTAAGTTTTTGAGTTTTGGTCTTTTTTTCTAATACTATGTGCAATAGTTCAACTATATTTGGTATGTGCGTACCTTGCAAGGTCCGCATGCCCGTCAGACAGTTTTCACTTGACCTCGACCTCATTTCATGGATCAATGAACAATGTTAAGTTTTGGTGGTCAAGTCCATATCTCAGATACTATAAGCAATAGGTCTAGTATATTCGGTGTATGGAAGGACTAAGGTGTACATGTCCAACTGGCAGGTGTCATCTGACCTTGACCTCATTTTCATGGTTCAGTGGTTATAGTTAAGTTTTTGTGTTTTGGTCTGTTTTTCTTATACTGTATGCCATAGGTCTACTATATTTGGTGTATGGAAATATTTTATGATGTACCTGTCAGTCTTGCAGGTTTTATTTGACCTTGACCTCATTTTCACGGTTCATTGCTCAGTGTTAAGTTTTTGAGTTTTGGTCTGTTTTTCTAATACTATAAGCAATAGGTCAACTATATTTGTTGTATGGAAGGATTGCAAGCTGTAGTACATATCTGCCTGGCATTGTTCATCTGACCTTGACCTCATTTTCTTGGTTCATTGGTCAATGTTTAGTTTTCTTGGTTAAGTCTGTATCTTAGAAACTATAAACAATAGGTCAACTATATTTAGTGTATTGAATGATTGTAAGGTGTACATGTATTTCTTGTTTGGTTTATATGACCTTGACCTCATTTTCTTGGATCATGTTAAGTGTATGTGATAGTTGTAGTAAAGCTTTATATTTAGGACTATCAACATAATATCAATGATTAGTAAAGAAGGCGAGACATTTCAGTGTGTGCACTCTTGTTATTGTTGAGCCTGCGACTTCTGTTGCAGAAAGCTCGACATAGGGACAGTGATCAGGCGCCGGCCACGGCAGCATTAACAAACTTCTTAAAAGCTTAATATTTCAGAAGGTAGAAGACCTGGATCCTTCATACTTTGTATATAGATGCCTTATATTATGAAGTTTCAGTCTGTCATATGTCCATTGTCCTTGAAATAATTTTTATGGTTCAGTGACTACTTGAAAAAAAAGTAAATATTTTTAGTATTCTTAATTTCTCTCTTATTATGAGTAATAGGATAACTATATTTGGTATGTGCGTACCTTTCAAGGTCCTCATGCCCGTCAGACAGTTTTCACTTGACCTCGACCTCATTTCATGGATCAATGAACAAGGTTAAGTTTTGGTGGTCAAGTCCATATCTCAGATACTATAAGCAATAGGTCTAGTATATTCGGTGTATGGAAGGACTGTAAGGTGTACATGTCCAACTGGCAGGTGTCATCTGACCTTGACCTCATTTTCATGGTTCAGTGGTCAAAGTTAAGTTTTTGAGTTTTGGTCTTTTTTTCTAATACTATATGCAATAGTTCAACTATATTTGGTATGTGCGTACCTTGCAAGGTCCTCATGCCCGTCACACAGTTTTCACTTGACCTCGACCTCATTTCATGGATCAATGAACAAGGTTAAGTTTTGGTGGTCAAGTCCATATCTCAGATACTATAAGCAATAGGTCTAGTATATTCGGTGTATGGAAGGATTGCAAGCTGTAGTACATATCTGCCTGGCATTGTTCATCTGACCTTGACCTCATTTTCTTGGTTCATTGGTCAATGTTTAGTTTTCTTGGTTAAGTCTGTATCTTAGAAACTATAAACAATAGGTCAACTATATTTAGTGTATTGAATGATTGTAAGGTGTACATGTATTTCTTGTTTGGTTTATATGACCTTGACCTCATTTTCTTGGATCATGTTAAGTGTATGTGATAGTTGTAGTAAAGCTTTATATTTAGGACTATCAACATAATATCAATGATTAGTAAAGAAGGCGAGACATTTCAGTGTGTGCACTCTTGTTATTGTTGAGCCTGCGACTTCTGTTGCAGAAAGCTCGACATAGGGACAGTGATCCGGCGCCGGCCACGGCAGCATTAACAAACTTCTTAAAAGCTTAATATTTCAGAAGGTAGAAGACCTGGATCCTTCATACTTTGTATATAGATGCCTTATATTATGAAGTTTCAGTCTGTCATATGTCCATTGTCCTTGAAATAATTTTTATGGTTCAGTGACTACTTGAAAAAAAAGTAAATATTTTTAGTATTCTTAATTTCTCTCTTATTATGAGTAATAGGATAACTATATTTGGTATGTGCGTACCTTTCAAGGTCCTCATACCTGTCAGACAGTTTTCACTTGACCTCGACCTCATTTCAAGGATCAGTGAACAAGGCTTAGTTTTCATGGTCAAGTCCACATCTCAGATACTATAACCAATAGGTCTACTATATTTGGTGTATGGAATGATTGTAAGGTGTACATGTCCAACTGGCAGGTGTCATCTGACCTTGACCTCATTTTCATGGTTCAGTGGTTTAACTTATGTTTTTGTGTTTTGGTCTGTTTCTTATACTGTATGCAATAGGTCAACTATATTTTGTGTATGAAAATATTTTATGATGTACATGTCAGTCTTGCATGTTTTATTTGACCTTGACCTCATTTTTACGGTTTATTACTCAATGTTAAGTTTTTGATTTTTGGTCTGTTTTTCTGATACTATAAGCAATAGGTCAACTATATTTGGTGTATGGAAGATTGTAAGGTGTATATGCCTGTCTGGCAACTATCATCTGACCTTGACCTCATTTTCATGGTTCATTGGTCAATCTAAAGTTTTCCTGGTTAAGTTTGTTTCTTAGATACTATATGCAATAGGTTGACTATGTTTAAAGCATGTAATGATTGTAAGGTGAACATGTCTGCCTGGCAGGGTTCATCTGACCTTGACCTCATTTTCATGGTTCATTGATCAATATTAAGTTTTCCTGGTTAAGTTTGTTTCTTAGAAACTATGTGCAATAGGTCAACTATATTTAAAGCATATTTGGTGCATGGAATGATTGTAAGGTGTACATGTATTTCCAGTTTGGTTTATCTGACCTTGACCTCATTTTATTGGATCATGTTAAGTTTATGTGATAGTTGTAGTAAAGCTTTATATTTAGGACTAACAACATAAAATCAATGGTCAGTAAAGAAGGCGAGACATTACAGCGTGTGCACTCTTGCAGTAAGAATTTTTGATTAAATAGCAGTTTTGAAGGGATATTGTTACAAAACTGATAGTTTAATTCAGAAATGGTATTGCATTATCGTTACATCACTGTTTCAGACATGATAGGTGATACATGTAGCTATATATAGTAAATCCTTGTCCTTGGATTTCAATAAACGTAATCTATGTATTAATGGTAAATAATTAAGTCAAGGATTTCGTTACCACAAATTACTAAAAACCTTTACTAAATTCTTCCATAGATACAAAGATTTGGTTTGTAAGTTTGGTTGTACCTGTAGAAAACTTATTTTGAATAGCTGTCAGTAACTGCGAGTACTCTCAGATCTGTGCTTAGTGTCTTTATTGTTGTAGGGATGTATAAATAACCTGCCACGTCCGGTCAGTGTTTTTGATACTTGTTTTTCTGCTTTGTATCGATCTGATGAGTTAAGCCCTTTTCAACTCACGGCCACGATACTACGTCATACGTTGTACTTATTGATCGCTATCATTTGGTAATTTAAAAGGCTGTCAATTTTGCAAACACTTCTGTGCAGTTTGAAAACTGTACAAGGATACTGTTTCCACTTTCCCGTAAACATCGTCAAATAGCTATAGTTCACGAATAAAGGCAATGAGTACATGAAATTCTTCGAATATTATCAACAAAATACAAAGACCAGGCTGTATAGGCTCGCATGCAGCGTGAAATGCACTTTTTGAAGTGAACATTGTAAAACCAGAACATGATACAGTTTGCACTTGATCTATTAAAGGATACAGTTTGCACCTAAAAGGTTCTATGTTAATTCAATGGTTTGTGTCGTTATGCTTACACATAGCAAGTTTACAAAAGGTATCGACCCACGATTTTTAATCATAAAAAAGCACTGGATACAGTTTTGTCCGAAATGCAAATATAACTGGAAAATTCGAGATAAACCAAGGTAACTAAAGGTAAATGTTAGTTAGAAAATCAAAGTTGGACCTAAACATATATGTACAATTACGTACTATACTTGAAAGGATCTTTGTCGATGCATTCAATAATATATCAATACAAGTTGTGTCGTCTGCTGAAGCAAAAGAGAAATGATAGTACTGCAAGGATACAAACACAAACACATTTCTGAAACTTATCAACTAAATCTAGTAAACATTTCAAAATTTGTTTTTATATTTTAGTCAAATATGTAAATTTTGTATCAACCCTTCCTTACAGTTGATTCCAGATGTTTTGACTTTCTAATTAGTATTACCTTACCTTGGTGTATCGCGAATTTTCCAAATGATCCAAGGACACCGTTATAGTCCTTTGATTTTTGTTGCCTAAACATACTAGTCCAAAGTGTGGACAGTATATAACTTAAATTTTCCCTTCCAAATTTTTTTTTTGATATTTCAATAAAATATTAAGTAGGGGGATGAAATTCCATTTCGTAATGTCTGTATGATATATTTCTTCAATATAAAAATAAGGAGATGTGGTATGATTGCCAAAGAGACAACTATCCACCACAATTAAAATGAACTGGATGTAAGCAATTATAGAAAATATAGTAATTATAGAAAACTAACGGCCTAATTCATAACAAAACAATTTACGATAATCAAATATGACAGACCTGAACCAACGACAACCACTGAAATACAGGCTCCTGACTTGGGACAGGCACATATTATAGAATGTGGCGGACTTGATAGTGGTTGTCGTTTGTTGATGTGGTTCATAAGTGTTCCTCGTTTCTCGTTTTTTATATAGATCAGACCGTTGGTTTTCCTGTTTGAATGGTTTTACACTAGTCATTTTTGGGGCCCTTTATAGCTTGTTGTTCGGTGTGAGCCAAGGCTCCGTGTTGTAGGCAGTACTTTGACCTATAATGGTTTACTTTTACAAATTGTGACTTGGATGGAGAGTTGTCTCATTGGCACTCATACCACATCTTCTTTTATCTATTGAACATGTTTGAAGGCGCCAACCCCCCCCCCCCCCCCCCCCCCCCTACCCAGGGACAGTGGTGTAACGGAACAACACAAGAACAAACTATGCAAAACAATAAACGAAAAACGAATATTACAAACATAAAAAAAAACCAGTTGTTCTATATTGATTAAGCTCATCGTCCAATATACTAACCGACATGTATTGAGTGTTATTTGATAAATGTACCAAAGTAAAAGGAATCCAGACAATCCGAGATTAAAGGGCTGACAAGACTAGTGCTTTGTATGATAGCCGTAATTTGTTTAAATGTTCTTATTCAGGACTGATCAATTGTAAAACAAAATTCAAAAAAAATCTAGCCTATGTGCACATTTGAAACTATAAGACTGATGTTGAGAGATTACCACACCTAATGCGTACGTGTAAAATAGCATCAATTCAGCCACCTTAAGTCAAAAATATATAGACAAAGACTTAGGGATGATAATTGTCAATTTAAGTCTCATTATAGGTAAGTCCTCAAAATAAAAGTTCACTGTCACTTTTTTTTCTTATATCAAAAAAATAGAAATGTCATAACAATGCAGTTTGTTTGGGCAAAATTCGCCGAAAAAGAAAACAAGCTAAATATTTTGTTGTTTTTCGGAAGACGTCCGAAGCTTGCCCAACCGAATTATTTTTGATTACAATACAAGATGTCAATCGCATTGTGTAAAACATTAAACTATTAGCAGTCAATCTTACCCATCAATCTAAAAATAACTTAAACTGCAGTAAATGTTTTAAAGGTGATTCTTGAAACTGAATTCCTTATTCATATCAAATGGATAAGTGTCAGTTAAAACAATTTTGTATATAAGGAAGGTTAGCGTGAAAAGGTTTTTAATGTGTAAAAGGAATTTTTAGTATTTAATATATGTATATTTATATAAAGTAAATTGTTTGACCGGGTAAGTACAATAAATTGCATCAGAAAACAATGATACATTTATTAAATTTTATTGCTGTAACACATCGTTGAGGTATACGCTACTTAATAGTATTTGAAACTCGAAAAGCATTCGCATAAGAAGCAAATTGAATACTCGCAATAATCAGGAACTTGATGATGAGTCAGATGAGTTTGTTTATTTTGCTGATGATTCAATGTTTAATAACGGACCGACGAGTTACTGCTTTGCACTATTTTTGTCGAGCCTTCGACTTTTGTCGAAAAAGCGAGACATAGCGATCCTACATTCCGTCGGCGTCGTCGTCGTCGTCGTCGTCGTCGTCGGCGGCGTCCACAAATATTCACTCTGTGGTTAAAGTTTTTGAAATTTTAATAACTTTCTTAAACTATCCTGGATTTCTACCAAACTTGGACAGAAGCTTGTTTATGATCATAAGATAATATTCAAAAGTAAATTTTGTAAAAAAAAATTCCAATTTTTCCGTATTTTACTTATAAATGGACTTAGTTTTTCTGCCAAGAAACATAACATTCACTCTGTGGTTAAAGTTTTTGAAATTTTAATAACTTTCTTAAACTATCCTGGATTTCTACCAAACTTGGACAGAAGCTTGTTTATGATCATAAGATAATATTCAAAAGTAAATTTTGTAAAAAAAAAATTCCCAATCGAGCCTTCGACTTTTGTCGAAAAAGCGAGACATAGCGATCCTACATTCCGTCGGCGTCGTCGTCGTCGTCGTCGTCGTCGGCGGCGTCCACAAATATTCACTCTGTGGTTAAAGTTTTTGAAATTTTAATAACTTTCTTAAACTATCCTGGATTTCTACCAAACTTGGACAGAAGCTTGTTTATGATCATAAGATAATATTCAAAAGTAAATTTTGTAAAAAAAAAATTCCAATTTTTCCGTATTTTACTTATAAATGGACTTAGTTTTTCTGCCAAGAAACATAACATTCACTCTGTGGTTAAAGTTTTTGAAATTTTAATAACTTTCTTAAACTATCCTGGATTTCTACCAAACTTGGACAGAAGCTTGTTTATGATCATAAGATAATATTCAAAAGTAAATTTTGTAAAAAAAAAATTCCCAATTTTTCCGTATTTTACTTATAAATGGACTTAGTTTTTCTGCCAAGAAACATAACATTCACTCTGTGGTTAAAGTTTTTGAAATTTTAATAACTTTCTTAAACTATCCTGGATTTTTACCAAACTTGGACAGAAGCTTGTTTAT